ACAAATAGAACCGAAAAAATCAGCAAAGCATAGGTGTTAGACTGGAAAAGAAGAAAATGGAGTAAATGAGACGCTTATGAATTCCAAGGTCAACTAGTATAGTACTTGGCCTAAGCACAGTTTGTTGACATCAATTTTGTCCAGTGTACTATACATAAATTTGTCTCAAGAATTTGTATTAATTACCAATCTCATGGTAAGAACAGTTGAAATCTTATGGGGAAGGTCTTATAGTGAAACTCTGATAAATAATGGGAAAAATTGCATATCAGGACAGAAACATTGCTACAGTGAAAATTCCGACAAATGGTCCAGGCATTTAAAGAATCGTTATCTTTTAGTTGGTGAAAATAAATAACATGATAATAGAAAACAGGAAGAAAAATATGCAAAGCAGGATTTGCAATAGAATTTTCTAAAATGACCATGACAGAGTGGAGTAGCATGATTTATATTTGTCCCCAAGCTTAAAACCTTACGAACTAGTTTAAGAAAGTGTGTTGATGGTTTTTCCAGTTCTCAATCCTCACACAAGAGTGAAGATAATTAGTACTTCAACTTTCAACAATAATTTAACCATAAAAAGTGTAATTTAACAGATTTTTATGATACATGTCTCTTATTATTTAGCTCAATTGGATCAGTTTCCATATTAGTTCAACGAACTTGTGATCTGAAGCAAGTCCCCGCAATATGGTGACCATTTTCTAGAAGTCTCATTTGTTTGAGCCTTGCAGATGAGTGACCAGAAAATGAAAGATACTAGGTGGAACCAATGGTGGCATACTTTTATCTGGATCAAGCTTCAGGGGACTATGATCAAATTGAGATCATCGTCAAGGACGTATATCCTAAAAGTCATAAAATTAATTTGAGAACAATATGATGATCAACAGATATTAATGTTAGCATCAGTCATCGAGCTGTGAAAAATTTCACCTTTTTCTTGCCGATACGTTTAGACAACCAAACTGGAATATGCAGACATATTAGCCATATGTCTAGAGTACTCTGACTATCACAAAATACTTACCCAAAGACCCACAAGGAAACTGCAAGAAGCATGGTACCAACCATCACCCATTCATTCCTTGTCACAGGTCCCATTTGCTCGAGCTTTTTTGCAGCCAAAGCAGGAGCATCTGGTGTATCTTTTGTTTCTGGTGGAAAGATCTTGTATAGAAGATATGGAGTGACTAGAAGTGCAATGATGGCAGGTAAACTTGCAGCCTTAAACCAGGATACCCATGGACTTGCAATCTTAACACCAAGTTCCTCAGCTAATTTAAGGCACAGGAGGTTTTGAGCTGCAGCAGTTAGGAAAAGAGCACTTGAGTTACCAGCTGACTGCCATGCATCAGAAAGAAAGAAAGAAAACAATGTCATTAAACTTATGAAAGGCTAGAATAGAGCCGAGAAAAGTTACAAAACTATAACAAAAACATAAATTTTTCTACCTATACCAACTGATGAGGGTAATTACCATATAGAGCCTCTCCACAGAGCATAGTAGATTGTAACAAATAAAAAATCAGCAAGAGACTCCTGGAAATATCAGCCAGTCACCATGCGCAATTATAAAAAATTGTGACACCGAACAAGTATGGACTGAGAATACACCTTAAAAGAAAGTTTTTGAAGGAAATTTTTGAATAGGTAACATAATTTAGCATAATTTTACAGTGAATAGTTCACATGCTGTCTATTACTAGGGCAAGATAAATAGTTCACATAATTTTGCAGTAAAGGAAGTTTTTGAAGCACACCTTCATCAGTAGATTATAGGCTTAAGATCAACTGCAAACCCAAGCCAAGTAACATTATATATGGAATGGAAATGGATGAACAATGTTGTCGATCATTATAAGCCAAAATAATTCAGGATAAGTTTAACATGTCTACTTGCATCTTTTGTACACCTTATTTCTACTTCATATGTCAATAAAGAAACATAAGCTTTGTTCAAGCATGAGAGAAGGCCAGTTGAGGTTCTTCTGATCAGCAATAATGCCAACTTAGTGAGCTCCTATCTAGTGATCAATCCTATCCTCTTTAGTCTTTTCCTTTTTGTTCTCCATCTGATCTCTTGATTACTGGTTTACAGTACAATTCATGCCCATAGAATTTGAGTCCTTACATTGTATAACTAATGTTTGCTAATATGCAGCTGATAAAAATCCTAGATGATTTTCTTATCGAGCCACTCTTATTTCTACTTTCAATTACAATACTTTTTTACCCCTTGATTTAACCCACAACAATTCAACATAAGAGTGACAAGCAGCTCCAAGAATCAAAATTACCAACTATTAGCACAATGGTTATTAGCCAGACCTATAAGATGATGAGAAAAAAATCCTATTATCAAATCGAAATAAAGTAAAAATATACCAAGTAGTAAACTAACAAGTATTTCACCAAAAATATATCTTTCCCCATGAAATATAATTTTGTGTATCAATCGACAATCGTCAATTCATATTCCACAACTATAAAAACTTTATTTCTAGTAACCATAAATGCATAAGACATTAGAATATTTCTAAAACAATATACAAACTTAAAGAGCAAAACTGACTAAAGGGTGTCCCTAGAGTAGTAGAATCATTTGAAAGAAAATGTCTTCCTATGTTTCAAACATCCAACTAGTGATCTATAACCCATACAAACTTAACATTTCTAAAAACGATAGCCACACCTGAAATTGAAGGAAAGTCACATATAAACAAAATCAGAATTTGTAACATCAAATACAAAATAAAGCATAGGCTTAGCACAAAAAGAAAATCACCTCAGACAAAATTGTTTTAAATGTTTTGGTCATTCAACTAGCATATGTTAAAACCCGCCAAAATGAACTAAAGTAACTAAACAAGCACATAATTCACACAGAACATAAAAAACTTCAAGTTCTAGCAATAAATTTATCTTTATAGAGGTCAAAAAAAAAAATTTTCCCTCAATGCAACCAGCAGATCATAAGAACATGCAGCTCATTTCCACCACCACCAACAACAACAAGTATAACCAAGCCTTTATCCCAAATGTTTGGGGTCGGTTACATGAATTCTATTTTTCCATTCCATAAGAATATGCAGCTCATTTCCAAAGGAAAATAAAATCATTTGCCATCCAAATTTCCTTCTTTGTGTGCTGTAACATATCAGAGCCCCATCAAAATTAAATCTTTTTCTCAGTAATTGGTAACAGAACATAATCCTCTCACTTAAAATCAAATGCAATAAGCTTTTCAAAATTTAAAAAAAAATCCAACAGAGTTAGGTACTAAATAAATTTTATAATCTATACTACTATATAAAAAACCAAGTGGGGGTAATCCAAAATTTGGATGAGTGGACATATTCTCATTTTCGACAGTACTTGGAAGGGCAAAAATTTAATTTAATAAGAGGCTTCTTTCTTGTTTTCCATTCTCTCTCTTTTGTTTTCTAGAATATTCTATATATAGATATAAAACATTTTGTCTTTCTTATCTTTCTCTTCTTTTGGTTTTCGAGAATGTTCTATATCATACTCCATGAACATATGATATGAGCCCATATAGTTACATATCCATTATATTTAAGATTTAAAAGGTATATAATATAAGTTTATAAGTTCCTTTTACACACACACACACACACACACATACAAAAAGCCAAAGAATATAAAATATAAATATTTTTTTAGAAACTATAAGTTTTGTGCATTAGGAACGTGCATTTAATTTTGTAACAATAAAATAAAATAAAATAGAACATATACAAATAATATTAATAGATGCTAAAAACCTTATCCTTCCCTATAGGATTAAAAAAATATTTTTTTCTTAGATTTAAGATATCATTACATTATAATTATAATCGAATCTCTGATGCATTTTGAGATATAAGAATTTATTAAAAAAGTTTTATGCCTCTTGCACGGGCGATAATGCTAGTTCACAAATGAAAAGTCAAGTTTACATCATCTATAAACAATTAGCAATAGAATTGACTTTTATGTTGTAGCCACTACTGTTAAATATTACAACCCTATCAAAATTAAATCTTTTTCACGTTAATGTTACAGAACATAATCCTCTCATTTAAATAAAATGAAATAAATCAAGTATTAAACTGACAAATAAAAAGTCAGCTACTGGCGAAGGAAATGACCTCACCTGAAACTGCGACAGCACAAGAAACGACCCCAACTTCCTCGACGTTGAATCGTTTGGCGAACTCCCTCCAGCAATCGCCAAACTCTTAATAATCGGCAAGAACACACCCCCAGCCCTCGCCGTAGTACTCGGCATCGCCGGCGCAATCATCGCCTCACTAATCGTCAACCCATAACTCAACCCTAGCGTACTCTTCCCAAGCCACTTCACAAAGTAAGTCGCCACTCTATCCCCTAACCCCGTCTTCACAAAACCCCGCGCAAAGAAAAACGAGATCACAATCAACCAGATCACCTCATTAGTAAAAGCCCCAAACGCAGCGGCGAAAGTTAGGGTTTTGGTGAGGACCGCCGCGGTGAGGCCGAGAAACGCCCAGGCGCCGACGGGGAGAGGGCTGAGGACGAGGCCGGCGATCGTGGAGAGGAAGATCGAGAGGAGGTTCCAAGCTTGGGACGAGATTTCGATGGGTTTGGGGACGAGGAAGCGGACGCCGAGGCCAATGGCGAGCGAAAGTAAGAGAGGGAGGGGCTTGGCCTTGGAGGCGCACTTTGCAAACGTCTGCGGCCCTATTAGACGCATCTATGCCTTTGGATCCAACCCGGCCATTTGGTCCGCCACGTAATTAATACTTGTGTAGCAAAACAGCGTACGCACCCCATTCCATACTGAAAAGCAGGCCACAGAAACACCTTTGGCCAACGATTCAACGGAATCCCTTCCGGCCTACGGGCCAATCGCAATCTCCTACGATCCTCACCGTCACCCAACGCGCCGTGACACATCCTTATCCCTCCGCGACGACACGTGCCTGGGATATATCGACACGTTCCCTGCCTTATTATAACCCCCGTTTCATTCGGCTGTTTTCCTCGTGCGTTCGTATTTCTCGGTACGACGCAGATGGCCCCAAGACTGCAGTCTCTGTCACTGGCGGATTGACCAGACGCATCTGCCCCTCAAATATAACGCTATCTTCTCCATTTTTCTCCTCAGCGATTCCGTCCAATTTTCTCTCCCTGACATGGAGAGCTCCTCCTTTTGTGCCCTTCACCGCTCCCTATTTCACCGCCCCTCACCTCGATCTCCGCCGTCCCTCCCTTCTCCCTCCCGCTCATCCACCCTCCGTTCCCGCCTCACCCAATCACGTCACCTCACTCATCCAATCGGCTCTCTTCCTCCGGAACCTCGGAGGTGGTAACCTCCCGCCTCCTCCCCCTCCTCCTCAATCAAGGCCGCC